CTTCCCCCTGGATCCTGGAACAAGCCACAGCCAAACAGCAAAACCACTAAAGAGCACTCACAGTCCCCTCCCTTGGGAGATGAGAATGAACTACACATGGTCTAAACCACTGCTAAATCTTAGTACATATGCCAAAGGGTACTGGAGGTACATATGCCAAAGGGTGAGCCTCAGTTAAGAATCTACACAGAAAAGCTGAGAACAGGCAGGTTTCACTGTCACTGCCAAAAAGTGGAAAACAGCATCCCCTGTGATGAGGAACCTGCTCACCAAAAGAGATTCTGGGTTACAGAGAATCAGCCTGGCCAATTCACAAGCCACCTGCTCTGAAAGCTATTCATGCATAAATGTCTCTTAAGGCAGAGAAGGATTTAGGGTTCACAGTAAATATACAATGTACATTCACTACTGGCACCTTAAACACGCTAAAGGCAGTCTGGAAAACAAGAGGGCAGAATGTGGAATCGACAGGTTTTCAAAGATTACTTAGATGATCAGTTCCTAATAGAGCAAAACAAATGTAAAACTCCAGAGCTCAAATTAGCTTCAAAAAACCCAAGTCTAAAACGCTCCCAAAGTAAACAGCTTGAGTCCTACTTAACTGAGGAAGCCAGAAAGCTGAAATATGCCACTGTATCTGACTGGAAATAGTTTTACAAATTGCCTGAATGCAGTACAAGGGTCAGCAAGAACACACAAGCCCTGAAAGGACTGAAATGTACCCCAGCAAAGGTAGCAGACAGCACACCACTGCTAAACTACTCATGGCATTGAACTGGGGATCTTGGGAGGAAATTACGAGTTCAGCCCTGTAAAGGGCTACTTTAGCGGCTCCTGTGCAACCATTTATCAGCAGCAGAATGTTTTTTCTGGTAGGGCTCAGAGAGCATTTCCAACATGGTGTAATTGCTTGCACACTTATTGAAGACAGGGACAAGAGCAGGAGCAGGGTGATTAAAAGGGAAAAAAAATCTGTTTACAGCATTGTGCTGCTTTTCAAATTTTCTTACACAGCTCCAGTTTTAGGCACAACCACCGAGTTTCAGGCTAATGTAATACTGCTGCAAGTATTGCAGTGGAGAATCTGACTTCATGTGCTATGGCATATATTGTTGGTGGCTCTGTTACTGCATTTTACAAGGTCATTTTTCTTGGTGTGGGAACACTGTTATTCTTGGTGTGCAAGGCCTGCTGTGGAAAAATAAGAAGTGAAGGGGATAAACTTCACGATGAAATATTTTCTCTCAGAATGAAAGCACAGATTTTAGAGTATCATAAAGTATTAAAAATGTCTTCCAAAATTTATGTTCAAGCCTTCCCTTGGTTTCAGAACTATGTAAAAAGATAAAAACATACCCAAGCTGCTTTTTTCCATCTCTTAATTCATTTGCTTCATTTGCTCTTCTTCAGAAAAGAAAGTTTGTACTTCTTTATTTCATAAATATGCTCCAGAACAGCTTCTGGATAATAATTAAATTAGACCTAGTAGAATTCTCAGCGGAAAAAAATCTCTCCCCTTCCCAGTTTTCCATATTTTTTTCCTGTCAGAAGAGATGGAAGAAAGGGAATAAAATCTGACTGGGAAACACAAGGCTGATTCTCTCTCATAACTCAAGACTGAGCTACTTTTCAGCTCCAATGTGGATTTCCCATTTTGTGCTCATTCGCCCTGCCACAACCCAGTTCTAGCAGCAGAATGAAAATGCAGCCACGTGGAGGTCCAGCAACCACTGCCACAGCAGTGAACCAAGGGAGCCTGTGCCTCACCCATCCCAAAGAGGACCCCAGGAGTACATCGGGATTTTCTCCTCACTGCTGCTCCTCCACAGCCAGTCACAGCAGCACAAGACAATCCCAGACATCTGGAATCTCTGGAGACACACAGAGCATGGAGAAGGGCACCGAAGGGAAAAAAAAACAAGGGCGCAGGGGGGAAAATAACTGGCTTAATTTTAGGGTGGAATGTTTTTTTTTTTTCTATATTTCTTTCATCTCTCAGTCCAATTAATTGCAGGGGTTAACCCAACTGAAAGACCAAAAGAAAAAACTATCCTACAAAATCCTTCCTTTATTTAAAGGACCAAGGGATGGGAGAAAAAGAAGCTCTTCCTCTCTTACTGAGTCAGACTTCAAATGCTTACAAGTGTTTTAGACTATTTAAATCTCCAATAATATTTTAAGATTACTAAGGATTTGTCCTGAATTCATTATATGCAAAAAGGACCCAATTCTGACTACCTCATTTGTGCAAACAGACTGCCTAAGTACTAATACACCATATCCTCCGTTTGATAATTGCCAGGGACTTTTGATACAAATTTGCCACATCGAACGATGTCTAATAAACAGTTGTTGCAAAGATTACTCTTTCCTGGATTTGCCACACTTCTTCAAGTGAAATTTCATCAAATGCAACACTGATCTACTCACTTCTCACAATCACTCCTCTCCACAGAAGTACCAGGACAGAAAAACCCTGAGAGATGTCTAAGTGCTTATTATATCAACAAGTCTGAGTTTGTGCAGTTTCCTTTCCCACACTGATTCCCTCCCTGTGAGTGCAGTGCACTAGGATCTTTGCATTTACTTCAGCACGTGCCATGATACAGCTCGAAACATGCCAAAATCAGAAGATCCTAGTGCAAGCTTCTCATTGAGATTTATATTGTGATGCTCTGAATGGAAGAATCTGCCTGCTTAAGTGCAACTTTCTAAAGCAATAGAATCTACGTAGCAAAAGAATCCCTGGAAGTTACAAAACCAGAAAATTGATAGACTTCCATCTGTTTAACCAATTGCTCTAATCAATACCTTTTCCCCCGTAATGTTTTGTACAGATGTTGTCTCTCAAATACATAACTGCAGAATCAATGGAGCTGGGAAGTATATAAGAATTTCAATTCTACAAATGGCAAAACATTATGAAAATATGAACTGCTAAAGCTATCACGGTGCTTAAAGGCACGGAGTTTATTAAGGTAATTTGTAAAACATCACTGAACAGAAAAAATTCTTGAAGTCAACAATCTTGAGGTTTTCATGAGACAGCCAACTACAATGATAATAATCCAGGATAATTATCTGATTTTCCTCGTTTCACCCTAACCTTACAACAGTGCTCTAAAAGGAGCTCCTCAGGGAAATGGCATCACCCAGAGTTCCCACTTGCCCAGATGTTTCTCTCATTAAGTTACAAGCCTGTCAAGAAAAGGCAAATTCAGGGTTACTCTAATGATAGCAAACACCTCATAAAAAACCTCTCCAAATTTACTTTTCCAAGGAACATCATTTAAAAAGGCATTCCCGGTGCCCATGAGAAAAGAAAGCATCATTTATAAAACATTATTACCAGAAATCTTGCAGATATTAAAAAAAAACATCCTGGAATGTCAAGCCGGTGATAAAACTGCAGCGACAGCATGGTGGGGCCTTACCCGCGGTGCACGGCTCAGCACGCCTAAGCAGGACTCCCACCAAGTTCAGCAGGAGGTTTTCTGAGTTAGGGGGACCTGACCCCAGCCTGAGACTGGGATGCTGAGCCTGCAGCTCTGGGTTCCCTCCTGTGGCTAGTGGGTTCATTTTGTGGACCACCAGCTGGGGATCTCATGCGTACAGTGATCAATACAGCCTGCACTCTCCTGACTTTTCCTTGGCTTTTATAGTCTGCTGGTGCTGTGATTCTTACCTAGATGATGGACAGTTTACATAAATTTATGGTGATAATAGCGATGGCATTTTTTGTCAATTTATCGCATGACTTGGTAGTTGATTTTATTTTGCCACTTGGATAGCCAAGGCACATGCAAGTGACCAGAGATTTACAAGCTTTGTCCGCAGATGTTGGTGATTCTGCAGCTTTGATCACTGTCTCCAAGTATTATAAATGAATGGCAGCATGTGATACTGAATAAAAAGAATGACCTGCGAAAATACCGAAAAGGAACAAAAAAACGTCCTTCACCTCTGTCGGACATAATACACAGTGGAGTTTCATGGGAGAAGTCTTTCAAAAGACTGGCATGGGCCAGCTGGGTCACAAACGCTGTCCTTCACATCACAAGCACTTATGACCCTAAGTTTCTTGCCTATTTCAGGACTGTCTCTTGATGCTTTCCAAGGAAAGCCATACACTTAGTTCCAGTATTTCCCGAGACCGTACACCTCATGCACCTATCTGCTCCCCTCTCACCCTGTGTCCCCACGGAGGGATGCCCTGGCTGGGACACGCCGTGCCTGACACGGCTGCTCCCATCCCCTGCCTTCCCCACAGGCTCCCCAGGTGCGCTGGCCGTCGTCCGCTGCGGGAACACGCGTGGGAGCCGCCCCGACGCCTCCCGCACGGCATCGAACCGCGGCGCCGGAGCGGCTCTGCCTCCGCCACCGCTGCCCCGACAGCGTAAAGCCAAGGAGGGCGGGGGACACCCCGCGAGCTCCCGGGGAAAGCCCTCGGGCGGGGGAGCCCTGGGATCGGGACAGGCGCGGGCGGCGTGAGGAGGAGGAGGAGGCAGACGGAGCAGGTGCACGGCGCCGGCTCCCGTCAGCTCGGCCAGCCCCGCGCTGCCCGGCCGGCCCTGGCGGCCCCGGGGGACGCGGAGGGTGGTGGGGGAGGCGGGGCGGCACTCACCTGCCGCTGGCTGTGGTTGCCGGCGCCCGTGGGGGCGTGGGGCTCTGCGCCGCCGCGCAGCACGGTGATGTGCAAGGTGAGCAGGAGCAGCCCCAGCAGCAGCAGCAGCTCGGCCGCCAGCCGCACCATCCTCTTGAGCCGGGCGGCTTTAGGGCCCCGCGGCGGCGGCGGCGGACGCGGAGGAGGCGGAGGAGGCGGAGGAGGAGGAGCCGCGGCGGCCGCCGGGGCCGCTCCGGTGGCGGCCCCGGCGGCGGCCCCAGGAGCCGCGGGACGGGCGGCGGGGACCGCGCCGCTCTCGGCGTCGCTGGGGCGGGCGGCGGGCGCGGGGCAGCGGCGGCAGCAGCAGCAGCAGCAGCAGCAGCGGGGGCCGCCGCACCACGGCGGAGCCACGTCGGGGCGGGATGCCGCGGCGGCGGCCAGAGTCCCGGCGCTGCCCGGCGGCGGGCGGCAGGTACCCGAGGCCGGCGGCGTCTCTGCGGGCAGCCCTGCAAGCCAGAGGCACCGCGGGCCGTCGGAAGGAGGGAGCGGGCGGCCGAACCCCCGCCGCCTCGGGGAGCCGCGGCCGGCGGAGAGCAGCGGGTTTCGGCGGCCGGCGGGGACGCGCTGCGAGGACGGGGGGAGCCGGGAGTGTGTGTGCGAGGGAGAGGGAGGAGGGAGGAGAGCGAGGCGGGGGAGCCGGGGACGAGTCTCACATGGCGGGGAAGCCGGGACGCTCCGAGGGGAGGAGAGAGCTCGGGGCTATCGCCTCCCTCCGCGCACGGGGATGGGGGTGGCCCTGAACCAGCTTCCCCCGCTGCCGCCGCCGTGTCCTCGCCCGCCCCGCCGCTCCCCCCTCCCCTCCCGACGCCCGTCGAGGCGTCGCCCTGCCCTGCCCTGCCCTGCCCTGCCCTGCCCTGCCCTGCCCGCCCCGCCGGGCCGGGGCGCGCCGCGACCCCCGCCGGCTCCCAGCCCTCGGAGCTCCCCGGGGGAAAAGGGACAGATTGCAGCTTCCCTCTCCCGTCCCTCTTCCTCCCCCTCTCCACCCCCTGGCTCAGCCGTGGGAAATGGGATAGGGGGCGGAGGTCGAGGGGCTGCAAAAAGCTCCAGCTGCCCGCTGCCCTCCCGGGGAGCTGGATACCTGGCTCCATCTCTCCTCTCTCTTTCCTCCGGTGCCGTGGGGCTGGCAGGGGTAGCGCCGCACTCTCTCCTGCCACCGTGCGTGCGTGTTTGCAAGCGGCTGCCGCTCCTCCTGCCTGCTGCTGCTTCCAGACCCACTTTCTCGCCCCCTCGCTCTGTGTCGGGAGAGGTACGTGTCGGATGCTTTTATACTGCCCTGCCTCCTTTCCCTGCTCCCCCCCTTTTCCTTCGCCCTCTCTGCAGCTCCTGCTCCAGGCTTAGCGTGTTCCCCCCAGCCCTGCTCCCCTTCTCCCCGTGCCGACCTGCTCCTCTCCATGCCCTGCTTTGCCAGGACATCCACACCCTTTCCCACACACGGTTGCACCTTGCATCCTGACTGCGATCTTTGCTCGGCTGGGATGGATCTGCCCTGCCCACGTCTCTTTCAGTTGGTCTGTGCATCCCTAGCGGGACTCCAGTCGGGGTTTGACAGTCCTTACTCTCCCTGTTACTTGCTGACCTGTATTAGCACTGTGGAAAAACCTTTCTCTGTCAGATGGGAGGACCTCAAATTTAAAAGTAATGTGGACTTGAAAACGAGGGTTGGATTATCACTTGCTATAAGTCAATATCTCAGCATCTGGTCTGAGGGAGCTGGACCTCTTTGTGGGTGCTCAAGGTGCAGCTCAGTGTAACAAGAACAAACACAGCTCAAATCAACTTGAAGCATAAATAAAGCAACCTAACAAAAAAATGGGAATTTTGGAATCTTCGTTGTCGTTCTTGCGCAATTGGGAATGGTATGTGTAAAAATGAGGATACGAACAATCTGTGAGCATGTGACAGCTGAGAGGCTGAATTGGTCTAAAATGTCTGTATTGGGGAAAAAGTGTCCCCTAATCTGAAACGTTTTAATCTGGAGACCGGTGTCCTCAACAGGTTTCCTGCAAGGTAAGGGTGAGATATTCTTCCAGTGTGCAGTGCCAACTGGGACAAGATCCATGAGGGCAGCCTTGCCCTGGAAAACTGCCAATTTTTGGGGCATGAGGAGAATTGGAGCTCGCAGGAGGTTCCTTCCAAGTCTTGGAGCATTTGAAGGCTGTGGTTATGAATGAGTCAGAGTGATGTCTTGTACTCTTCCAGTGATAGCCACGGTCAATTATTGCATAGGAATCAGGCAAGAATATAGTTAATATCATTGCACTGGGGTATCATTAAAGATGTGACCAATAACCACAAGCCCCAAACCTTCAGATTTAAGCATTTTCAAATCCACAAACATACTCCATGTTAGCACTGCAGTCGGAATGATCAGCACAGATGATTGTGCAGGGTAGGGACTCCCATGGGTCTGCCCTGAGTGTGTCAGAGGTACAATTCCCATCTTGTGAAATCACTTGTTGAAAAATACCCAGCATGGCACTGATGCTCTTGGATCATACAGAGCTATTCAATACTGCATAAAGCCATAACAGCCTGTGGGACTGTCACATGGCTTTTAAAAAATCTGGTGCCTTTTTTTTTTTTTTTTTTTTTTTTTTTTTTTTTTTGCTAATCAAAATATTGAGGAGATAAAAACACTGATTGTACTTCAGTTGTCATCGCTTGGCCTTGGCTCTCCTGCCACCCTTGCTGTGAACCTGGTGGCAATGAGCAGAAGCAGGGCAGCTACAGGAGGCAGGCTTGGCAGCCAAGAGGCACAAGTGTCCTGGTTATCACTGGAAGAGTACGAGACATCATTCTGACTCACTCATGACCACAGCCTTCAGGTTTGCCAAAGTCTGACCATACCTAGTGGCTGCCAGTGGATCCCGGCTGTTGAAGAAAAGTGGAAACTTGGCACTTGAGTTCTGTATTTCAGAGCTTAACAGTCGACAGCCAGAGCAAGACTGAAGGCTCGTAATGCGAAACAGTCTGAGTGACAGTCTGGTTTAAAACACACACATGGATCTGCTGCTCAGCTCTGGGTAATGCGAGTTCTCCCTTGCCTTATGAAACTGAACCAAAAGACATCTTTAATCCAGATGAGATGGGCCGGTACTGGTGCTCATCTCCTCGTGGCACATTAATGCATTGAGCTGTTGTGCAAAGCTAGGCAGGGACAGAGCAGAGCTGCTCTCAGCTGCAAGCGGATGGCAGCGAGGAACCAAAGCCTCGTCCCACTGGAAAAAGTTGGTGTAAAAGTGGCACTTGGGAATGGCACTGCTGCCTGTGTGCCTGTGTGGGGCAGCGAGGCAGGAGTGGGCACGCACACGCTCTGGAGATGTCCCTTTAAATTCACAAACACTCTTCAGTCAGCAGATGACTTCATCGATGAGTCCAGATGGCTGAATCAAGACCTGTAGGGGAGATGGATTTAAAAGCAAAGGGGAAAGTTCTGTTTTCCCAGCTGGGTGGACACTTGCTCAAGCAGTGAGCACCATTTAGTCCCTGGAAGATGAAGTCAGGGTTCATCAGGAGGAGGAGATCCAGAGCTATCCTAAGGGGGATACTGCTCCTGGGATGTGGCTGTGGGCGCTCAGCAGGGAGCTGGATCAACAAGTGGGTCTGGTGGTGCTGGGATAAGAGAGCTGTATTCCTGTGATAGCTCCCTGTGCAGGTTCACAGCTCACACTTCACCCCTTCACCTCCAGCTTTTACCTTCCATTTCTCTTCCCTCCAGTGACAATGGCAGACTCAGCTCCTGTGCACTCCCAACTTCTTGCCAGTGCCAGGGGAAATAGCAAGAGCCATTGGGAAAAGAGCCCAGGCTCTGTGATGACCACCACAGTGCCCAGTCAGGTGCTGTAGCTCAGCTCATGTGCTGGCAGTCAGTAAGCTATGGGAGTCACACTGCTGCTGTCACACTGCGACACGAAATAACTCACAGAAGCAGGCTAGATGTAAAAGGAAAGAAAAAGGACTTTAAAAAGCAAACTTTATTTTCTGACTCCGCTATATATATATATACAATAGCAAATATGACAGTGGATTGGAGGGTGAAACTGCCACCTCTCCAACCACAGTGGTCAAACCAACAGTCCATCAATTCCTCCATTGACAAAGAATGCAAAACGATTATTATATACATCAATATGCATGAGAAAACTCAGTTGAAATATGTAAATATCAGAAGGCATAAGAACTTTTAGAAGAACTTTAAAACTCTCAAAGGAACAGGGTGACACCCTGCCTGTTGCACACCTCACAGATCCCATGTTCCTCATTGCACAGCTTCAAGAGCGAGTAGTGGCTGTCCATGTTGCAGCCTCTGCCACGGGGTGAGGACTCTCTCCTGGGAGGTGTTTCAGGAACCTGGTGGCTACAGCTCTGAAACTGCCAGAAGGGCCCAGGGCATTCCTTACACCAGCCTGCCAACAAAAATACCACTGTAGCACCTTCATTGCTCCAGGCCAACAAACTTTGTCCAGGGCTGAGTTTGTCATGTCCTTGCTGACATGTTCTGATGGTGATGCTCCTGTCTCCTGCCGTAGCCATCACAGCTTATCGCCCCACGTACTGCCCACCACACTGCCTGGGGCCAGCCCATCTTCATCACTGTGCAGGCACCTGCGGTTGGTGCTGAGTCCTGAAAACCAAAGTATTGCCTGACACGCAGCACATTGCAGAGGTTGGGTGGTCCTAGTGATTGAAATGAACATTTCCGTTCGTTTCATTGATTGTACCTGGTCAAATGTGAAAAATCCTCACTTTGGATGAGTGCCACCAGGTGATAACCTTCAAGGCCAACATGAAAATCCTGGATAAGAGGAGGAGAGAAAAAAAATCAGTATGATATAATATAAACCAACATAACTTGTTTCAAATGCTTTATCTCAGAAGTGAGAAGGACCACTGGGTTTTATGTCACAGTATCAAGACTCACTGGGTCCTATACTGAAGCTGTCCCAGCAATTAAAAATTATTGGTGTTTACCTGATTGTCCACTTTACTGTCCATCTTGGTATAGCTCCAGTACCCTGAAGGCATCCTGTCTGTAAGATCTGACAGCTTTTCAGAGAAGCATTGCTGGTCCTCAGCTTGCACCCACTCCCAGGACGCCGTTGTTTCATGTTTAAGCCTGGTGGTTGCTTTAAATTTATCAGGGATGAAAACCTGGCTCCACTGAAGTCATTGGCAAAGCTCCCATCGACTTCAGAGGAGCCAGGATTTCATCCTAAGATGCTTTGTAGATTATTGGTGAATGGAAAGCATACGTCTGGCTTCTCCAGGGTTATTATTGTTGGTGGTGACCTCTGCTCTGGCAAGCACTGAGCAAGGCTAGGTTGAGATAGATGGTTAAAGCTTTCCCTACCTCTTCCCCTGCTTCCTCACAGGGGCTTTGCTTTATGGCTCATCATCTTGGATGCTGCTTATAAAGGAATACCTTCCCATCACCCGCCATGCAGTGGAATTTAATGCCTGTTTGCCCACATTCCCCTTCCCCCAACGCCAGCAGATCAGCAGATAGGAGACAGAATGGCTGATTAGCTTTCTAGCTCCAACCTCTTAGCTATAAGCTGCAAATGTACACACAAGGGTCTTCTCTCTCTCTCTCAAAAAAAAAAAAAAAAAAAACAAAAAAAAAACAACAACCACAAAAAACATTCCCTTGCAGGCAACCTAAGTCTTTCTGTGACTCATGGTTCCTTTATCTCAATAAATTACTACTTGAATAGTAACCACCCTCTTTTTAAAAGAACTGATTAGCTTAGAGTTCTTAATTTTCCTGCTTCTTCTAGACTGGTGCTTTTTTTCCCATCTACATATTTTGCCACCAGCTGGGGTCAAGATTTCTGAATTCTGCAGTGTCTGTGTGACAGGCTGGAAATTCAGCAGCCACTTTATTAAAAACTGAAGCCAAACCGGAAATGTATAACAAGTCTGGATTATGGAATATGGAAATGGAGAAAACAGAAAAACAGTCCAGTCCAGTTTCCCTACTGCTAGGTTGGGTTTTTTAATACCAAATTCCCTTTATTTTACAGTCTGCCACATTTTCACTTTTCAATATGCTGCACATTTTTGTACTGATGATGTGCAACTGCACTGGAGCATTTGCCAAGCTGTGGCAGTATGGGACTGTGGGAACCAGCACGTCAGGCAAGGTTTTTCAGAAGTGCCCAAAGACTCTGAATTCTGCTAACTTTCATGAGAGCTTGCCACAAGGCAAATTTGCCTCTTTGGAGTACAGTGAAACCAGCAAACGCCTTTCTTCTGATGAGAGTTTTAGCACTGCAAAAGTGCCTGGGTTGGGTGCAGTGAAGCTGATTGCTTCAAACAGAGTAAAGGCTCTGACTCTGGATTGATTTACCTTTGTTCCTGGTGGTTTTCTGGCAGCAATGACCCCTGTGACAGAGATGGCTTCTGATAGGTCTTATCCTGTGTCCAGCAGTGTGGCAGCCAGTGTTTTTGAGAGTTAAAAAAAATACAGAAATAAACAGAACAATTCATGCCTTCTGCACCTATGGTTTTAAATTCTTCACTTCCACAGGGAAAATATCACATTATTGGCTTGCAATTTGCTTTTTTCAAGGCTGCTTTTTTGACTCTGGAGAAACATAATAATAATAGAAATATAAGGCAAATTCAGGCTGAAGGACAACTCTGCAGCAAGAAAGGGAAAAGAGGATTTCATAATGAATCCTGTGATGGTGGGTGAGATGAAGGCCTGTTTCCTAAAATAAATGTTCACCTCTGTCCATTGCAGTAGAGCCTTCATTCCCAGAGGTGAAGAAAATAGACTTAATTTCTGAATGACCTCAGGTTTTAAGTGTCACC